GATGGAATACTCTGGTACAGTTGTTAACAACACTACAGATTAGGCCACATCATTATGGAAAAAATAAAAACCATTCAAGATACAATGTTAAGCTTGTACAATGTACAAGAATGTTTATAGTGTGACTATCGAATGAATGAATTTTGAATAAATATGCATTAAAAATATGTAAGAACCAATCTGAAACTATGTAGATATATATATCTGGATACGGGATTGTGAATGGTAGTCTCATTTTTTGCATTATAATTTTAACATGTTTGTCTTTTTCCAGTGAGCCTGTTACTTTTGTGGGCATTAAAAATAACAATCACACTCATGGTAATAATAATGACCCAAACAATAAGCCAATGACTGGCCATGGGCAAAGAAGAAAGGACATAAAAGGACCCTGACAGTAGGTCTCTTGTCTCAGAAACAGATAATCAGACTCCTTCTGCCCCACTGATCATGGAAGCCTGGAGGCACTGCAGGGGTCTTGGGAGGGGGTTGGCCACTGCCGAGGTTGCAGTTGGATGCAGACTTCATCTCTGCTGCAGCCTCCTTGGCCTTGATTTTTCTTACTCTGATGGCCCGACCCTGTCTCTGTCCATACTTTTAAATAAATCCTTTAGGGATAGAAAAAAAGAGGAAGGAGATGGGGAGGGGAAGAGAGAAGAATAGAGGAAGGGAAGAAGGGAGAAAGGAAAGGCAAAGAGGAAAGACAGCAGTGAGAGATGCAGTGTCCCTGCATCTCCATGGCCCCAGGAAGTGGGACATGGAACGGTTCCTCAGCTCTCTCTGTCAGGAGTCGCCATGGAGACCGAGCACTGGCCTCTCCATGATTAATACTCCCAGGCAGCTGTCTTCTTGGAGTCTTTTAAAATATATACACTATTATTTGAACACAATGATATTTAGAGCAGAAAGATCAAGGTGGGGTGTGGAGGAGGGAGCAGCAGCATCACCAGAGCCATGACAGGGGCTAAGCCCTCCCCAGAAGAGAAGGAGGCTGCCTTTACCCTCCCTCTCCCCCTGCCCACCTCCCCCCCCCAACATCCAGAGCTTCTGAAGTTCTCGTGCGCTACAGCATCAGCATCTGAAGGGCCAGCCCAGTGCATGTGTTCAATAAATAGTTGACGAATGAATGAATGAATGAATTCATTCATTCAGCAAATGTTTGTTCAGTGCTTGTCTAGAAAATAAATTATCCTTCCCTCATCTTTTCCCACAGAAACAGAAAATTCGCTCACCCTCTCCAAGTCACACACACACACACACACACACACACACACACATCACTTTAGTGAATTCTTGCAAAGACAAACAGCAGTCAGATTGAGTTTGCACATCCCATCCTCTTTGAAAAACTAGAGGAAGATCTTCCATCTAAAGCCATCTTAGAGTGAATTCTTTTGAAAATGACTTATGTTTTCCTAAATTACTTTGTGATGTAAACTAGACTGGGTCTTTCCACCCCATCACTAAAGAAATGTGGCTTTGAGCAAGTCATTTAACATTTTTGGGTCTGTTTCCTCATCTGTGAAATGGGTCTCCAATTCCTTACTCTATACATTTGTGATGATCAAATGACACAATGCTTGTAAAGTGTTCAATATGTGTGATCTTCCTTGAGTAAATTTGTTTTTATATTTGAAGTGTGATGAAAGTGGACCTCATAGATCTAAGATCCTCTCTCTTCCATCCCTCCTAAAGGTCTTTATTTTATCTGGGCCCAGAATCTCTTTTTAAGCTGTTAAAATTTGAGGGGGAAAGGGGCTGAGCTTGGAAGGGCTCATCTCCCCTTTATATTCCCTCCGAGTCCCCAAGGAACCAAATGCAGCTGCAAATAGCTACCAGAAGTAGCCACCCTGTGTCTGTGAATGTGTGCATGTGTGTCCACTGAAGGTGAGTAGCATAGACACGGGCATGTGGTTCAGCCCACACCCAGAGCACAAGCTACCTTGCCTGTCTCTTCTCCTAATCACTCCTACCCACCCCCAGCCCTACCCTCAGGCCCGGCCTCCAACAAGAGAAAGTTAGGGTGACTTGGACCTTTGTCCTAACACAGACCTAGACCAACAGCCCTTGGCAGAGAGCAGCAGTGGCCTGGCAACTCACCAAAGGAGTAGGGGAATTATCTGTGACTAAGAAGGAGGAGGAATGCTGTGGCAGAGGGAAGAACAGCAGAAGGGACGGGCAACCTGGGGCTGGCCAATCTGGCCCGACGGGGCGACCTGGAGCGCCCTGGATACCAGCCCAGCCAAACTCCTCCCCTCCTCCTCCCTCCCAGGCAGTAGGATGCCAGAGTGGATTTGAGACATGTGTGCCCTGCGTGTCTGGTGTGGGTTCACCTGGTCTTGGGCAATGCATTTGGATAAGAATCAAACCCTAGACATGAAATGGAGTATCAGGAAAGTAGTGCTTGGTGCAACTAATCTTTGCAGACATGTGCTGGGTTTCTGCATTTCCTACCTGCACTCCCGTGTGCTGTTAACATAGAACCATATGTGTGGCCATTTATTAGAACACACTGCAAGTGCATGACCCTGTGTATGATTTGTGGACTCAAGGAGAGGATGAAAACAAGTGTGTCGGCACATGTTTTGCAGGTGATTGTGTGAAGGGACATTTTCTGGGAACACACTTGTAGGATCGTTTTGGGATGAGGCACAGGCAGGTAGGATGGGGATGGGACTCAGGGTCCAAGAAGAAGAAAAACAAAATCTATCTTCTGGACCTTAACAGGCATTTAAGAAATGAATGCTGAATGAACAAACATTGAGAAATGGAATGAATGGTTGTTTATATGATGGACACAGACTGAAGGACTAAGAATGTGGTGCGGTTTGGGCATTCTTGGACACTCTGTCTTGCAAAGGAGAGCATGGAGGTGGAAGGGGAGCTAGGAGCTCTCCTGCCAGTCACGCTGTAGCCCCCCCCCCATAAAGGGCCTTGTTTTGATCTCAGGGAAAGTAGGAAAAGAAGGGGAGCTCCAGATCTGCCCTTCTCACTCTCTAGTACCCAGAGTCCCCAAAATTGATTGTCTTTGTAAAAAAAAAATTTTAAATGCTATCTCATGTATCTATTTAATCCCCCACACATATTTACTTAACTTGGTTCCAGGAAGGAATTAAGTAAGCTATAACACAAAATAAAGTGCACATTTAAAAAAGAGGATGAGAAAATGAGGGGGCAAACCACAGCAGAAGAATTATGAGAGCAGGAGAGTAGCAGGCCTCTTCACTGGAGCTGGCTATGAAGCTTCTGCAGCCAAGATTCACAGCCTCCTTAAGACTGGGGAATTTTTTTTTTTTCCTCAGAAGCAGTCCAATTATTCAAAGCACTGATTCCACGGAAATATTTCCTGTGGATTCTCTGTGTGCTGCTGGGAACAACACACATTTATATGATGGCAGAAAAAAAAGGCCTACAGAAGCATGTCATCCCCTGCAGGTGAGGTGGAGAAAGAAGCATTGGCCCTAAGTCTCTGGAGGACAATTTGCCAGTTATCTATCAAAATTTTACATATTTGGCACAGAATTGCAGTCACTGGACTGTATCTCACAGATGTATTCATTCATACAGTCAAGGATATTCACTCCAACAACACTGGTAAAAAGCAAAAGGTTGGAAACTACCCATATGTTCATGAATAGACGACAAGTTGACTAATTCATGGTCTCCCTTACAATGAAGTACTATACAGCCTTAGAAAAGAATGATTATGTCTTTATGTTCCGACATGGGGCAATCTCCTGGCTATTTTAAATGGAAAACTTTGTAGCACAGAACACAGGGTTTGCTCAGATATGCATAAACAATTTCTGAAAGAATATCCAAGAAACTTAAATGTGGCTATCTCAGGAGACAGGATGGGGAAAAGGGGGAGTTTTACTTTTCAATTTAGAATATACCCTTTTGTATTAATTGACTTTCCCTCACTGTTAGCAAGCATGACCGTCCCTTTTCATTTAATGTGTTGTTACTAACACAAACCAAAAACAAACAAACCCCCCCCCAAATTGTCAAAAAATGGAAAAACACACAGGTGTGAGGAAAGGAAATGAATGCATGGCAACAACATCTATGGTTTACTGAGTATGGCTGGACGTTTAAGTGCTGTCAGTTTCCCTATCAAATTCACAGGTGAGGAAACTGACGTTAGCGGGATTGAATGACTCGCTAGCAAGGGGCAGAGGGCGAACTCAAACCCCAAATCGTGTAATCCCAAAGCCCACAGGGTCCCCGCCGCCGCCCCTCGGCCTCTGCTCGCAGACGCGAAGTGCCTCCACTGGACGGTCACCCAGACGGGCGCAGCCGCGG